CCGTCTGCTTAGAATTGATAAAGGTTTACCGATCTTGTGTCACATCTCCCCTGTTTGGGATTGATAAAGGTTTACCGGTCTTGTGTCACATCCCGTCTGCTTAGAATTGATAAAGGTTTACCACAGGAAAAGTGCAGAAGTGATGGTCCTTTCAAGGAAAGAGTTTAAGAGCTGGAAAAGAAGCATCGGAATCTTTACACAGTGGTGCCTCTTCTGAAGGACTATATCTTCTGTCCTCGAGAAGATTCGCCAATAAAGTCAAACACGACAGTAGTGCAGGTTCAAACTTTGCCTCCTATATCTCTATATTCGGCTGCAAGCCTACCACAGCTTACGAGCATGCGTGCAAGTACAGCAATGGACTGGTGGAGATAAAGGTTTGATCCCACAGGAATGGGGAAGGTATACAGCTCAGAATAAACAGTACATTTTTCACCAGCGCCAAATAATCAATCAAATCCAGCTGTAGGAAACACGGTTTATTATATATATAGCATAACTTACCAATACTATATACTCATTTTAAGATCTCTGCGTATCAGCTTTATAATGGTATGAAATTTCGTTAGATATTTTTTTTTTCCTGGCAGATGTTAAAAGTCAAGTATATCATGAAATAATTAAGCGACAAATTATGTTCCACTGATTAGACAATGTTAAACTCAAAAACACGATGAACAAATCGTCTTGTAATTAGTCTGAGGTTTAGGTTTCTTTTTTTTTTTTCAGAGTTTAATTGTACCATATGCCACATTTTAACTTTTAAGACGCCATTGATCAGTGTTTCATGACTTGCTGCGGAAACCCCCCAGTGGCTCAGAATTATAACACTAAAAACCAGATTTCGATACCTGTGGTGGACACAGCACAGATATCCTATTGTGTAGCTTTGCGCTTAACAACTGGTAAACAAGATGGGAAGATTCAGCAGAATCCTAGCGGGAAAATCCCCAAACCTGGTTCTTTACAATTGGATTACATTATATACAACTCAGGCTCGCGGGAATTAACATGGCCGTACCATGTGGCTCAATAGCAACGACGTCGTTATTGTAAGTGGTCATTTTCACATTAATACAAAAATCAAAATACTGTACTTCTACTAAAACCCCCCAGTGGAACAGCGGTATGTCTGCGGAGTTACAACGCTAGAAACCGGGTTTCGATACCCGTGATGGGAAAAGCACAGATAGCCCTTGTGTAGCTTTGTGCATAATTAAAAACAAACAAAACTTCTACTAAACAAGCACAAAAAGCATTTATTTTGGTCACGTGCACAGTTTTTAGCTGATCGCTAGCTCCACCAATGGACTGGTGTGTATGTGTTCTTGTTGTTAAACATAAAGGGCTATCTGTAGTCTAGCAGTACAAGTCCGCACTGAGGGGCAAATGGACTTGTATTTGCTCATAGGATCAGTGCCCTACACGTTTATACCATATTTTATATATCAAAAATACTTTTTTTTTATTTTTTTTTTACACGTACATACATTTTAAACAGGAAAAAAGTGCCAGGGCCATGGACGCATGTAATGTACCCGGTTCCCACGACCCTGCAATGAAAGGAGTTCCTTGTGAAGTTCAGAATATTTTTATTTAATATCACACAAAACGTTACACGTCATAAAGTTATCTCCATATATTCGTCTTTCAGCTTGTATTTCTTTCTCTTTTAAGGTACTTTTTAACCTGTGAAATCAGGTATTTGGTTTCAACGTAAGAAGAAACATTTTACAGGTCTAATTATATTAACAAAAACGAACGTTTAAACATCTAACATAAGAACGAAAATTATTGTCTTAAAATGTTTGACAATTTTTGTTAGGCGACGTTTCGGCTTTCTTTAAGTTATCAAAGCTTGTATACAATATGTCAAAAAAGAGGGGATACTGGTAAACCAATGGTGAAGTCAAGGACTTTTCTAACTGATACACATTCAAAGCTTAATAACATCGTATATCTATTTGTATAACACTACGTATTTAACCTGATCCTGAAACTGGATACAGAAAAAGTTATTCATTTATTACTTCTATGTTTCTAGCGACATCTGTTGGTCAGTATATTCTGAAACAAATGTTATACTGATTTCACGTGGACTACAAAAACGGCATTGAACTGGATTTATAAACTTTCAAAATGTATAGATTACTATAGCTATCTCTTTCTTTTCCCGGAAAATATAAACATGATCTTAATAGCTTAATTATGTTCACATATTATCAGGATACCATTACAAATTCACTAGACAAGACAGCTTAAAATATTAAAAAAAAACAACTTTGTAACAGTGGCGCAAGTATGCCACAGCAGCCCTGGCAATTGCGGTAGGGGTCCGAATCATTTGTTTGTTTATATTGAATTTCGTGCAAAACTACACGAGGACTATCTGCGCTAGCCGTCCCTATTTTAGCAGTGTAAGACTAGAGCTAGTCATCAACACCCACCACCTACTCTTTTACCAACGAATAGTGGGATTGACCCTCACTTTATAACGTCCCCACAGCTGAAAGGGCGAGCATGTTTGGTGGGAAGGGATCCGAACCCGCGGCCCTCAGATTGCGAGTCGAGCGCCCTAACCACTTGGCCATGCCAGGCAAGGGTCCGAATCTGATAAAATCGTAACTACAATTATAAGGAATTAAATGTGGAAGGCCTAATTACTTTTTATGCAGGGGACAGGGGGAATTTTTTTGTAGTTACGCCACTGTAACTTAAGAACTCTGGTGGTGACTTAATCAACTTCTTATATTTTTATACGTGCAAAATAATGGTGTTTAAAATTCCATGAATAGCTAAAAATAAGAATTTGCTAATTTTTTTTATTTCTCTGTTTTATAATTGCTCATAAATAAAAAATATAAACAGGAATTAAAATATTTTATTATTACCTAGTTCTCTGTGGACAAGAAAATTCGGTCGATTAAAAGATAATGCAATGAATAGTTGTGAAAAAATCTGGCAGTAGAACAAAATGTTGTACATAACCATATTTTATCTTATTATTATATAATGTCGGACAAATTTCATTTGAAACTTTCACTTTAAACATCGTATGGTATCATATCGAACTTACAGGAGTGTGTAGGTGTGTACAAATAGCCACAGTTCTTTGAAGTATATTTAACTGTCTCAGCGTAAAAGAAGAAATGAAGGATTTATCCTAGCAAGAAAGTGATTTTACAATATGGCGTTTGTCTGTCCAGTGGAATGGTTAGATACTTGCCCATTCAAATTGTACTGACCACTGACCAATCGACATGTTTGGAAACGTTATGGTTTTACTGTTAGCTGATATGACTGCTCATGGAATTAATGTTTAATTGTGGTCCAGAAGTACTGCCTATTACAGGTAATGTGTTGTGTAGTTTGTTAGAAGTACTGCCTATTACATACAGTGTTGTGCTGTGTAGTTTGTCAGTACTGCTTGTTACAGATAAATTGTAATAACAGGTAGTATTTGTTTAGAAGTCAAAACAGAGAAAAACAAACATACACACGCACGGTATCACTTTGTGACTGAAATAAGTGCTTTATTTTTACTTCAATGACTTAACCAGTTTTAACAAAAAAAAAAAAAAGAAAGAAGAAACAGAACAGCTGACTTGTAAAATGTAAAATCCAATAAGTTGAAAGAGAATAATTCTACCTACTGAAAAATCCTTCAAATAAAAAATAATTTTGTATTGGTGTTTGATAAGGATAATGGAGTTAAACACATTCTAGTATTTCTCGTTAATGCCTATCATGCAGCTGTAAAGAACAAAAAAGGCTCTTCACCTCAGTCCATGTGCAAAATGATCCTAATATATTCAGACTCCTTCTGCATGCTAGACAGCAACAAAAGAATTAAATTACTAAAATCCTTTTGCCGTTTTTAAATTTATTTTAGCATTTATTTTTAAGACATGAGACATGAACAATGTTCTTAGCTGTATAAATCATCATCCCCGTCATCTTGGAAGTTCCCCTGCTCAGGCCCCTGAGATCCCCCAGACCCTGATGGTTGTGCACTTGGAAATCTGCAGGAAAGAGAAGCATTGATGAAAAAAACGTTCTTTTGAAATGAAAAAATAAGCTTGATTCATTACAGAAATGTAGTTTTGAGTTATTAACTCATTCTACATATTAAGTTATTTTTCCTTAACAAAAGCAAAAACATTCAATGGAACCAGTTTCAGCACTTTCTAAAAAACAGCTCATATCCAAAACATTCAATGCAACAACCAGTTTCAGTATTCCCTATAAGCAACTCCTATCCAAAACATTCAATGCAACAACCAGTTTCAGTATTCCCTATAAGCAACTCTTATCCAAAATATTCAATGCAACAACCAGTTTCAGCATGCCCTATAAGCAACTCCTATCCAAAACATTCAGTGTATAAAAAAAAAAAGTTACTGCACTACTTATCTTATAAGGAGTCATCGGTACATAAAGTACTTAAAAAAACTTACCTGCCTCCCATTAGTTTGTTTTTGTTCAGTACAATATTTGGCCCTTGTTACACACTATCTAAATTTGAAGGTTGAAATATGTTTCTTTGTTTAATTACTCATATTTCTATTACCTAAGATAAACAGATGACAGAAAGGATAGCACATTTAGAATAAAACTAAAGTTCAGCCACCAAAAAAAACGAAAGTCATTATTACCTAAAGTTTGTGCCAAAGCCACGGCTCTGCTGAAGCGTTTGGGAGAACATTTCATATTTTCTGATGTCATTATCACTAACTGATCGGCGTGCAAACTTCATTGCTTCTTCAAAGTGATCCCTTCGAATTTCTGGAACAGGGTCAGACTCTTCCACATCCTGTTTCAAAACATATTTTTCCTTTAAAAAAAGAATCTAACAATAATTCATAGTTTGTGTTACTAACTGAAATTCAAGTGAAAGTGTATGGTTGTCATAAAATTGTTTCTAGCTAGAAATCGCAGGATATTACAGTATGAGACTAAATACCAAGAAATTACAGCATTCTATAACACAGCCCTGGTATATTTTTTATCATGCTGCCTTAATAACTAAAAAAGACTGGTTATAATTAACACAAAATTTTGGTTACTTTCAAAAAGTGCCATATGTAGAGTTCTATGCAGGACAGGTCCAGGATGTCGGCCTAACCTAATACATATACATATAAGAAAAATATTTTGTTTTCTAGGCCTCAATGCATTTGGGCTCCAGCAAAGTAAGTTATCAAAATAAATTTAGTCAAGCAGAAAAAACAAAAACCGGTACAAGCTGGTGATCCCTAAATACACCAATGCTTTAAGTTAAATACTGTCCACCATATGTGAACCTAGTAGTTAGCAAAACTGATTATTTGCACATATTTTTACCCTTCAACAGACTATCTCACTTACATACTACACCAGTAAACTTTCTTTTTTTTGCTTGTTATCCATACCTATTTCCACAGTAAATATGACTCATCAATACTTTTAAAAGTTGATCAGTTTAGACGACACTCCTCAAACACTACAATCATCTATCATCCATAAGCTTTCGCAGGGAAACTAATAATATTCAGTTTTGGAACCTAAATTTATTTGATAATATTCTATCAAACGAGTATTAAGTTACTTCTTTAAGATGCTACGTTTCAATTCTACCGAGTTGCTATCCACACAAAACAATCTCAACTGTGTAGTTTTTTCGTAAGAGTCCAGTAATTTAATATTGTACCTCATTGAGATATTATGATAAAAACAGACACATGTACCATTGCAGTGTCATTCTGTGCTCGTTCCTTTTCTTTACGAATTTCAGCTTCAATGCTTTCTCTGATGGCCAGTTTACAAGCTCGCTGACAGATCTCTGTCAGGTCAGCACCACTAAATCCTTGTGAAACCTTAGCAATATAGCCCAGATCTACATCCTAGGTAGAAAACAGAATGGTTAAAAAAACAACTACAAGAAAAACTCTGATGGTTCACATTTCAATTCATAATTGATTAAAAACTTTGTTTCTTAAAGTAAACAACTGTTTACAGAAAACAAATTACATACATACATATATATGAACATATTTTTTAAAAAATGTTCAGTTATTCAATTAATTTTTTTGCAACTAGCATTTCCAAGCATACCTTTGATACAGGTGACTTTCTAACATTAGCTTGGAGAATGGAAACTCTGGACTTCCCGTCAGGCAAGGGGATATAAATTAACTGATCCAATCTACCAGGTCTGAGGATGGCTGGATCAATGATGTCAGGTCTAACACAAAACAAAAATATACCTCAAATGTAGCCAACACCAAACTCAAAATTCTGTTTAGCTCCGTATCATACGATTCACAAAGTATCTTTCTGTTCATTATTCTATGTTAAGCTTTTTCTTTATATCAAGTATAACACGAAGTATAAATCAATCAGATAAGCTAAAACTTAAATTTACCAATGCAATAATAGAATGATATATAATTATGGATAGCTTTCTAGGTGTGCCAACACCTACAAACATAAATGTCCTATATAACACTCAGACACTGTGAATTTCTGACTTCTTCCAAAATATTCTCAGTATAAAACATAACCCAATAACCATTTCAGTTTTCTCAATCAATAAAAAAATTCAAATATCATGCATTCACTGGAAATAAGTGAATTGAAGCATTAAAAATTATTTGGCAATCACAAGACTTCTTTCTTTATAAATTTAGTGTTTTTGTTCACATATAGATAAGTTCCATTTATTCAAATATACCCATCTTTTAATGCTCAGCTGAAAACACCAAATATCTTTAGCTCAGCTTTGGGTTCCTTATAATATATATTGTTATAATTAAAACAAAATTATGGTTACTTTCAAACAGTGGCATATGCAGAGTTCTATACAGGACAAGTCTGCCTAACTGCTCAGCTGAAAACACCAAATACCATCAGCTCAGCTTTAGGCCACCTTATAATATATATACATATTGTAATAATACTAGTGTCACCACATTAATGATTTCCTTTCCACATGACATTTAACATCCTCAAACACATACATGTTTAATTAACCCCAAACTCACAACCACTGTGGATTTTTTCAGGTTTAAGTGTTCATTCGAGCAACATATATTTTCAAAAACACTTTAAAGATGCACAATAAGTTTTAAATAAAGTGTAGATAGAGAATTCATGGAAACAAACTCTAAGTAAACTTTTATGTTTTAACAATCTGATGCTTCAGTTCTCAGAATATTTTTTCATAAAAGCTGGGAAGGGTGTAAGTTACATCATATTCAACCAGCAAACCAGAGATTAAAACAGTCAACAATTCTGCACATCACCACACTGATTTTATTCAAAAGTAGCTTCTTTTCCAATGTGTTAACTGCAGTGTAAAAAACTGTTAATGTTCACACACTTTATATAGCTTAATACAACCTACAAAAGATAATTATATAATTTTGCCTAGCTAGCTAAACATTCTAAAACTCATCTCCAAGTCAAAGAAAATCAATATAAAGTAAAAACAACATGTATAGATAACAACAAAGCATAATATATTTTATATTAAAGTTATTTTAAACACTTGCTAAAAGCTAATGTTGAGATTTTGAAATATTTTAGTAATTAAATAAATTTGCTATCAGAACACCAAAACTCATTTTACATTAAAAAAGACAAGACTTTTACCCCAAGGTTTAATTTACATAATCCATACCAGAGTTTTTCAACCTTTTCAATACCAGAGACCAGCTTGCTGCTTCCTTAAGTTGTAGCGGAACACCAAAATGAAACTACAATGAAAAACCATTATGATTTACATATGATTATTCAGTATGTTTTTGTTTTAGTGAAATCCCACAATCAACAAAGTGACTGTGACATACAGATCCCAGTCTACAGACCAGTGACTGAGAAATACTGATCTACACTACACAGTTCACACCATGAGTGACATTATAATAGTGGATGGTTTGTTTTACGAGCTTTCTTCTCAACACACTGTAACTTTAAAATTTCATGACACCCAAAAACTGAATTATTCACAAACCTGTTAGTTGCCCCAATGATAAAAACATTCTTCTTGGAACTCATGCCATCCATTTCTGTCAAAATTTGGTTAATCACCCGATCTGCTGCACCACCTGTAAGTTTCAAATTTTCATAAAAACTAGGCTTGAATTACGAACATAATTAAGCATAAAATGAAAAACACAAAAAAAACATGAAGATTATGCTAATGAGTATAACCAGTACATTCTTTTAAGCTTTCCAAATGCTTTAATAAGTTACTTGATGCAAATAAATCCAAGAGTTGTAATTCACTATAAGCTTCTTATCTTTACCTTTACGAGAAATGGGAACTCATTATAAGAAAAAACGTGAGTCAGCTCTTATGCACCAATAACACATGGCAAAAAATTTGGAAAGAAGTCAACAGGTGAAAATTTATCAATTTATTTGTAGAGGACTAACGTTTAATAGTATAAGGAAAAAATCAACACAAAATGTAGTTATGAATCACTTCCTTTTTTGGAGATATTCATATAATTTATAGAAACATCAAAGCAATTGATACTTTCAGCTTTGCTCCAAAACGTATTTCATGTTAAAAGTGTGTGGTGTGATCTTGAAAAGACATCAGTTACGAAAATAATGCTTACTCAAGACTTTTTTATAATATCAATGGACTTGTTTTAATTCTTTTGATAGGAAAACAGTTACGTTTGAATCTCTCAATTAAATTCTTGGCTTTACAGACATCTCCAGCATGCATGAAGATGTAGATAAACAGGTCCAATCAAATTATATTAGTTTTAAGATTGTATTTTTATCCACAAAATTAGGTTTACAATTTAGATCCATAGTACTGATAGTACAGAATTTTTTAGAGATAATGTTCAAAATTTGATTTAATACAATATATTTTGAATAAGATACATATACTAATGCTCATTAAATGCAACTACTAGAATGTATTTATACACACATATTTCAAGCCATATATTTCACAATTGTTATTATATGAGCATATAACATAACACTACAATCCATGTTTGCTACTAAACTTCCATATGTAATTCTTCCCATGTGAAAATAAAGAAAATGTTTCACTAGTACAGTACAGAGAACTTCAAATAATGCACTGAATGAAGCATGGAAAACACTGTTAAGAAGAATTATTAACATCTATTTCGTGTAACTGTAGTTGATTTAAACCCATCAATGCTCATTATTGTTGGAGTCTTTAATCCCTTTCTCTGTATGTAATAGACTATCCTTTGTAAGTTGTTGCAAATGATTTCAAATACAATCATCATAACACTTTAAATGGTAATCTGTGAACTGGGGGGAGATAGTAAGAGGACTCTTAAAATCAGCTATGATTTTCTCTTGGGAGCTGTAGGCCTAAAATTCTGATAAATATATCAGAATGCTCACCAGCATCTCCGATGCTTCCTCCCCTTGCTTTGGCAATGGAATCCAACTCGTCAAAGAATAACACACATGGAGCAGCAGCTCTTGCCTACGAAGATAAAAATAAATTATGTATTTCTGTCCACACTAGTTATTTATGATGGCTGCACTTGTAACTTCTATTAAAGCAAACAAATGTTTTTTTCATAAAACAAAAATCTGTGAAACACGAAAGTAAAGTTAAAACTATTAGAAACGTTTCATTTCTTTAATGTAGGAACATGCACAAACCTAAAAATCAATAATTCTTGTTTCAAAATCTGGTTTATCTAATGTACTAACTTATCATTCATGAAAACATTTACTTAGTATCTTGACAACAGATCTTAATTGTATAGCTAAATAATACGTTATTAAAACTAATGCTTTCAAAATACATTATAAATATTAAAAATGTATGTGTACAAAGCTTTTATAAGTTTTTTATTTACTGTAATGTTGTAAACTTCAAAAATAAAAATCACCTTATCAAAAACATCTCGAACATTGGCTTCTGATTCTCCAAACCACATTGTCAGAAGTTCTGGCCCTTTGATGGAAATAAAGTTAGCCTGACATTCATTAGCAATTGCTTTGGCTAAAAGTGTTTTACCACATCCAGGGGGCCCATAAAACAGTACCCCTTTAGAAGGAGTCATTCCAAACTTCAAAAATTTGTCAGGAAATTCTACTGGATACTGTGAAAGAATAAAATCAGACATCAGGCCATGATAGCTTTGGTTTTAAACCTTATATATAAACAGAATGAACTTGTATAGCTTTCAAAACCATGATGCTTATTTAAATACTAGTAATAATTCCTCTACTTAAAACTTTGAGAACATTTAAACTTTCTTTAGAAACACTACAAGTAAACATTTTTAAAACATACTTTGTGACAACACTTCTCTCTTTAATGTACGTTTTTCTACACACAATTTTTTCCATTATACATTTCTACTAGGCACTGGTAACAATAATCCAGGAAGGAGTTTATTATTAAGAAACCTAAAAAAAAATACAACTAGCCTAATTTATTTAGTTTTGTTGCAAGATATAATGATTTCAAAAGAGAATAACACTAATAAAAATATTTTCAGTGCAAACTGTACACCTCGCAAAAAAAAAAAAATGTTCCCAATATTTGACAAACTTCTTGTACCCATCATTTACTGCTATAATATCCAGTGTAACTGATGAGGATAAAAGATTACACAATTGTTCCTAGTATTAAATAAATGTGTCCTTCCTGTTACATTCCTCTGAAGGTAAAGGATTGAAAGGTGCACATAATAATCACAAAGAATACCTCAAATGTTGATCACATGACAATATAACACAAACAAATCATTGCATTATGTATTGAAGCAAGACACTAAAATTCTTGTAAAAAGTATAAAAGAAACATTTGTTATAATTATTTTCCTAGTAACTGCAATTATTAACTATGAACAGAAGAAAAGATCTTAAAAATTGTCATTAAACTATTTCGCAGCCTTTAACTCTTTCATAACGGGTTCAGTTCCTGGGACTGAACTAGTAACCATTTTGTGCTTGTTATAATTTTCATGCTGTAACTTTTATATTAATAAGTGAATGTTAACGAAATTTGGCAGATTATCAGTAAACATTACAATGCTTTCATATGCCAAATATCAACTTCTGTTTATTAAGTTTTAAGGTTTGTAAAGCAATGTTTTTCTCATGACTTTTTTTCTTTTTGCATGTTACCTATCAAACATGTAAAGTAATTTTTATTTGAAGATTAAAAATACTTATATGCATCAGACGATTTTCAAATTTCACATGCAAAATCTCTATGATGTCCAGATAGTTAAGAAATATTTCTTAAGAAAAAACTTTATATTTTATCTGTTATTTTCAGTAATGAATCTCTGTATGGGTTTGGTAAATTTGACCAATCTTGTAACCACCATAAAAAATTAGGAAATAAATATAAATTATGCATCTTTCATTCTAGAATGACAACATATTATAACACAAAAACATAAATTCTTAGACTAAATAGCTTAAATCTCATAACATTATACATTCATACATATATTTATTACTGTTATTATATTGAGCTTTCAGCCATGCCTGGCTAATAATGCAAAGGTTACAATGATGCGGCTCACGACCTTTAGTCTTTACAAAGTGACCTGTCTTGGCTGTGTTTTAGTAGACTAGTATTTTGTAAAATACAGTCACATTTCATTTATTATACATTATATATGTATATAGATTATTACTATTTAGAAATAAGTTCTTAAACTTATTTTTCTTAAAACACAGAACAGTTATCAAAGAAATAAAGCAAACAATTATCTCTTCTAGTTACAACCTTTGTACTCAGTTGCTGTTTGACGTACGTTGCTAAGCGTTTTAAACTTTCACATGGAGGATATCAAACAAAATAATTTTTCTTAGTTTTTATACATACATTTGAATAACCCCAAAATCATTAATTACTATATTAATACTATAGAATTCCACTATAATTTATTAAGCTTAGTAACTAAGATGTATTTCGGTCTTAAAAAATATGAAATTTCGAGCAGACTAAAGACACAGCCTACCTTCTTGAAATCTTGGTTCAAAAGAACGAGGTCACATACTAACAATTTAAAATGGCTGAGAAAGCCACTAGGGGGACATTCTGAGCTTTCAATTGATTATTCATGTCATATATGGAAGTAAAAGGGACCATTTCTAAAAATGGAAAGAGGTGGGCAGGGAGCCACTGTGTTTGATTCAGTACACTAGCAATATCTTAGCAAATAGAAAAGATAAGAGGTTCTCATATTATATTCTAGCTTGTCAACATTGGTAATTTGAGTTCCTAATTCATACAAAACTATAGACTTAATATTTTGACATCAAAAACATTTAATTTGAACCAGTGCTGCATTCAACATACTACGTGACACACACAAATCGATGTTTAACTGTGTATTTTTAATATCTACTTTTAAATTAAGAAATTGAATAACGTATAATACTAAAATTTGAATTATAGTCTACAATTTGATACCAAACTTATTGACATAACTTCATGAAATAGTAGTTCAATAAAATTTTGAATGCGAGTCAACAAACGCAATGACATGGGCTTTGACCCGTGATCCATCTGGAAAGGGTTAACCTAATAATTACTCTTGGTGTCTATGTGACTCCCATTTTTTTTTGGAATAAGAAAAATGGGTCTAAACTAAGAAGGTTCCTAATGACATACAAGACACACAAAAACATTTAACTGGAAATACCATCAATGATGGAATTAATTGCACTAATCAATGTCAGGTTCCTATTTATTTCACATAGAAAACACATAGGAACCTCTTTGTAAGATATGCATTTCACACAGAAAATACTTTGACAAGAAAAGCAATTTTATGGTCAGTACTTTACACTAAATGCTGTAACAGAACAAACAAAATTACTCGATGTGATGCAATATATGGATATCACTAGTAGAGAATGGTATAAAAACAAGTCCACAATATGAGGTTTAAGACAAATTAAAAGTGAAATCATCTTAGCATTAAGAATTCTACTTTACTCAGGTTCTTGATCCAAACATCTTTACCTGTATCATTTCTTGCAGTTCTTTCTTGACATTTTCTAGACCACCGATATCTTCCCATGTGACATTAGGAACTTCTACTACTGTTTCACGAAGAGCACTTGGAGAACTCTTCCCTAGAGCCCACTAACAATGAGAAACCACTTATTTAAGTTGGAGATGAAGTGAAAAGAATATCAAACTGGTGGCTCAAATTAGGGTGGAAATTATAATCAAAGACCTATGCCTACATAATCACAAAGCCCAATATAAAATTTTTCTAAATTTTAAAAAGAGATTTAGATCATTTCAAATACAATTAAAAATATATATATAAAAAAAATTACTTATTTAGAAAACTATGTGGACAAATAATCCTATTCTACCCATATCATTAAGAATATGCATCTTTAATTAACATGTACAGATATAAACTCAAATCTATCAAACTAAGGCATGAAAACAGAATTGTAGAGCACAATCGAAATAATGTTTGATATCTTTAATTGATCTTAACAAAATGAACTTTTATTTAACTTGTAATAAAAACCACTTTTGTTAATCCAGAACTGAATATAAACACTTATTTTTTTTTGAAAATGTTCATATTTTTAATTTTTTCCAATGACACTCTGAGTTCAGCACTGGTGTTTATGATGATATTTACATATTTCTAGTTACGTCTACATGATTCAGTTACCCTCTGAAGTTAAATGTTACAAATTCACTACCTTACTTTACTCTTATGATTCAAACTACAGCTAAATATTAACAAAGGTTATTTACTGTTACAAATGATCTATAATGGGCCTTAAGAATAATTTTTTTTTATGATGATTTATATTAGGTAGAGTTAACCAACCAAGTGTACATGTAAGACAACTTACTCGAAAATTCTCCATAGTCACAGCTAGAGAGTTTAACACTTCTGCATCAATTTGTTCATCTTCTAGGTCAATCAGATCCATCTTTTCTCTGATTTGCTGCAAGGCTGCTTCAGAACACAAGGCAGCCAGGTCCGAACCTACAAAACCATGAGTCTCTGCAGCAATCTGAAGATTAAATTAATTTTAAAATTTTAAAACAAGTAAAGAGACCATCAAATATGACATAATAAGTACTTGAATACTGTTTAGATTTATAGTGATATTTTCTATGGATGTTTAAAAGTGGCAAAGCTGTGAGCTTCAGCCGAATGATACCCTGTGTCTACTGGTCTCATTTATCATTAGCCCTTATAGCTTTCATGGAAAATCTGAAATTATAAGTTTTAAAGTTTATACAGAATTTTCATATAGTTTAATAATTATAATAATTTTTCAAGCAGTTAAAACTCTTCTTGTGTTACGCATTAATCTGTTTTTTAGAATTTAAGAAATGTGATGTTCATGTGAAGAATAAAAACAATTTTGCACATCATACAGTTTTTGTATTGTAATCTCATAACCCCAAGAACCTCCAAAATGCGTATTTACAGTTTTTTTTTCAGTATCTGTTACTTATCTTTCTTTACCACAAACTATTGCTAAGTTATCAATGTAGGATAAAATGAATAGTTCATAGCTTTGACATAAATTACATAATATTGTGTTGAATGGCACTCTGTAAAAGGTTCTGCATGTGCACTTTGATCCCAACTGTGCACATAGGGTTAAGAAGACAAATTGTCAAGTCATATTTCATTGTATGTTTCATTAGTTTCATTGTATATGGATACACTTGAATTTTTATTCTTGGTTTAATTTTTATATAATCTTTGCATTTAAGTAAGTTTTATTTACGTTTCTTAAAGTTCCTCATGCCATTCAGAATTCACATGCATCTTTGTATTTGTAGATTTTGGAGAGCTTACTTATCAGTTTTGAACATAATTGCACCATGGCTTATCAGAGTCCGAATCAGACTAACATCGTCAATTCACAGATGTATCTTAAGTACAAATACTTTTGTAATACATATGATATTTAATATACAACAGAATCGTAAACTTTATTAAAAGCTTACCACATTATGTATATATATATGTAGCATATTTGGAATATTGCCAATGTTCCTTCTCAAATACTGGTTTGTCCAATGGACCAAAGCCATGCACATTTGGTTAATGCATAGGATTTGACAATGGTCTCATTTGTATTACTAAAACTTGTTTAGTACTGTTCATCTTTTGTGTATTTTAGGGGAAGATACAATGTTCAGTCACATGTCACAATTGTTTTTTTCTTTTTGAATGAAGCTTCACACCAGAAACACAAGGGTTAAAAATATTTTAGTTAAATACCACACATGGCCAGTACAGTTCAATATCATCTATCATTCTTATTTCAGTTATTTTGTTTGTAAAATATAATTCTAATTATACCTTTCTTTTTGAATAGTCCTAGCATTATCTTTGATACCAATAGCGAATCTTATTGTTATAAATTATTAATAACAAAATAGAACTGAATCTTGAAGTTCTGAAATAAAATACAAATTAAATAACCAGCATTGTGGGTTTGATTAAACTCAAATCCAAGTTTGATGTGAGTTAAGATCCAGTTTTTAGAAGTTGCTATGCCATTAAATGAATACTATTTATATAATATCAATAAATAACTAACAAAGGTTATAAATTTTTATAAATGAAAAATTATCAGTGTAAACAAAATTCAGTTTTACTAACGTTATGATACTACAGTTGAGATACATGTTTCCATGACAATTAATATTTCCAGATACATGAAATAGAACCAATAAAAACTGTATTAAACTGAATTTCTGTAAAATACTCTCATGATAGTAGCAGCAAAATAAATTTAGACTTCATCATGTTAAATAAGTAAACTAGCCTTTTCCAAATCAACATCATCTCCCAGTTTCATGTTCTTTGTGTGGATACGAAGAATTTCTAATCTTCCTGTACAATCAGGAATGCCTATATCCACTTCACGGTCAAACCGTCCTGTTAGAAGAAGAAAAATAAACATTTACGAACAATGAACTTTAAAACTTATATTATAACACCAATATAAAATCCTTCTCTTTATATAATTACTTTTGTTCCCTGAATCAAGTTTCTTTACCAAGCTTTTCATATTACTAACATTTACTGAATGAAAACATGTTTCCTGCAGCAGCATGGAATCTAGTATAATTAATTCATTTCTTTAACCTATCTTTTCATTGAAAGAATTTCATAAACTAATTAATAGTAAAAATAAAATGTTCTTTGTAATTCCAGAATAAAAAAGGTAATTGCAAAAATAAAGTATGATGTATCATGAAACCAAACAAAATTTGTGCTTGACCTATCGCTATTCATAGCTTAAAAATTTTCCTATGGATATGACACATCATTTATGACAAAAGATAATATGACAATAGTGATACAAGGATAATAATCTAAATATCCCATTATTTGTAGCTTGCCAGTTAAAGAAAAAAAGCTTTGTTTCAATATTTCACTGATGTTCTTTTTATAATCATCTTATACTGTCAAAAAGTATAAAAAACAAACACACACCAAAACGTCGAAGGGCAGAATCAATACTATTTGGGCGATTCGTTGCTGCCATAACAATGACATGGGAACGTTGTTTCAAACCATCCATTAGTGTGAGAAGCTGTGAAACAATGCGTCTTTCCACTTCTCCATGGGTCTGAAACACATAAATCAATAATTTTAGTAAATGCAAAATATATATATAATTAAAGTTCAATCAATTATGTCAACTGCATTACATAATAACAAACATATACATCCTGTTACAAATAATTCATACATATACATGTGGGTGGGAGAAAAGTTACTATACACTTGGTACTACACATACACAAAAACATTTGTATCAAATACAGACATGGATTTGGTAATATTTCAAAGTTGTTTAATTACATCTCCCCAGAGAAACATACTTTTTTCTATTTTTTCTTTCTTTCTTCTTCCAAACACTTTTCAACTAACCATCATTCCTTCATTTCTCGGCGAATAGACATGAAACTTGGTAGGGTATACCTTGGTCCAATACTTCCAAATATCTTTATCGTTGTTTTGATTTAGGAATTTTATCGGATCAGAGATCAAACGACCCAAAAATTTATGTTTTTGGCTATCGTGCAGTCATATTTACAGAAATCAAGATGAAAATTGGCACAAATATAAATTTATGTGCCCAACACAATGACATACAAAAAAAGTTGGATGTGCCATTTTTAAGTCGGTGATCAGAGTTCAGAAAAAAGCATAGTTTTGGGGTATTTGGTTAATTACTTGGCTGTATTTTGACCAATTTACATGGGATTTGGTACAAAGATACTTTTTAAAGGTCCAAAACACTGACAAACAGCAATTGCTCATTTCTAATAATTATAGAGGGGTCAAGATACCACAAAAAA